CTTTTCTGAAGTCAGGTTATGTTCAAAGTTATAAATTACGATTTTTCCCGTTTTTTTGTGTTTTCAAAAACTTTGAGCAGACTTTCGGGAAATCACCACTGCATCTGCGTTCTGTGTAATTACTGTTAGCATGTATATGACTTGTAATTCGACAGTGTTCAGTGATTATAAGTGAATCGGTGAGTTGAAAAACAGTACAAGTCCAAAATTTGTCATTTTTAGTTAGGATATCCAATCGCCTGTAAATATGCTTTTATATCGTCTGAGAGTACACACAGTACGTTGTACATTCCGTTCTATTGTAGACGCGAACATGCTACTTGTCACTGAGCGGAAACACAGTACTAGTCCAAACGTGTACTGTTATTCAATTCAGTGACGTAATCACACAATGGTCCGAGTCATGCTTGCACTACAGGCAACTAGCCGTTTAAACAAAATATCACTATTTTCCTGTGCGACCGTGACTTTGGCACTGCTGTACGATGAGATGATTCGGTCCGCAAGAAAAACGTCACCATTCACTGTTCAGCGAATTCGACCATCTGACATAGTTGACTTCAAAAATTGGCGGTATTTGCAATACAAGAAAACTACTTGTACTTCGATAGGCGAAAACAACGCTGGAAAAGAAACGTTTAGCATTTTGAACTATAGGCAGTTTCTACATAATAGTGACACCCCTGATTACGTCACGACATGCGAGTACATAACTGGTTTAACTTCATTCAGTTTTAAACTTCTGAAGCAGAATAAAACAAATCCGGTCATTCCCACTGAAAATGCTTATAAAACACCTGTTACAATGAATAAGAAAAATATTGATGACATCAGACAGGTGATGCAACGTATAACAGGAGAAACCTTGGAATTTTATTATCATGTTACCTAATGGTGCACTACCGAGGTTGAAGAGGATCCCTAAATAGCTTTGTTATGCTTAATAAATAATTTTGTCTTGGTTTTTTAGTATAATTTCGCCAATTTCTCACCTTTTTTTTGCTTGAGTAGAAAAACAGTACAAGTCCACTACCCTTTGTAGGACATTACTCAATAGGTGACCTTTTTTTCAAAATAAAGAGTGCTGACCTGGTCCAGAAAAAATAAGAGCCAGAACTTTCCTGTGCAAGTAAACATTCTATCTGAAATGGGTTTAAAGCTATACGGTTTTCATTGATTTTCTCAAAAGCACAATTTGAGACGTATACTGTTTTTCAAGTGCAGTATATGTATTGGGCACAGCTAGTAGATATACTTCATTGGCAGTATATTCAGTACCAGTTTTCTTATATAACAAATATGACTACTTTCTTTTTTCTCAGAGAGAAACACTACATACTACTCGGCTTTTTGCAATCAACAAGCAACCAACAATGCACGTCGTGTCGTTGTGTCATTCCTCCATAGATGGAAGCTTTTGAACGTGGAATGAACTATTTGCACACTAAAAACTACTTTGTCTGCAAGATGACATTTTGTAGATTTTTTTAGGTTTTTTAGGTTTTACCCCTGCCGGTTCTTTAAGACTTGAAGGGAAAAATTATTCAAAGCACTATTACTATTTTATCTTAGATTTTTTCAATGCAAGAGGTGCAGTGCTTTTGAATTGAAAATTGTATGCACCCGGAGTGTGACGCTCCCGAACTACTCTAGCAAATGCGCACGGGAACGCGACTTTTGTTGATGTTTTGCTTTGACGTTACCAATTTGTATGTATGTATATGTTGAATTCATATTTTAGTGTAGATATTCAAAAATTATTTTAAAAAGTCTAGTTATAGATGAAGCCAACTACAGGCCGCTATGAAGCTGCATTCTTGCACTATCTTGTGATCTTCATTATTCAGGAACATCTCAAATGTACGTTGTGACTCTGGGCCAAAATCACGTAAACCGTTTTTACTATTTTTGATAATTAACACATAACCCAACAATCTTGACACAAATGTCACTTTCGTTACCCCCACTATTTCGGAGCGTATAACACCGAATAAAAAGCTGGTGCATGAAGCGGCAGGGGATTTAAAAAAATTTCAAAAATGAGTAGCTCAGGTGCACGACTGAGCATTGGAGCGGTATTGACAGGTGGTGAGTAGCTCCGAGTTACTCCGAGTAACACAAACCAGGCAATGGGAAGCACCTCATATGTCACCTTTTTTACCAACGTAAGATCAGAGGGTTGTACACATATACTTCATAGTTCTCCAAATATAACTGGACATCCCCGGGATGGGGTTCAAATTTTGGTGTGTATTTATGGTGTAACGTGCCAAAATCACGTAAACCGTTTTTACTATTTTTGATAATTAACCAGTAATTTGAATTTCTCTCTTTATTAATGGTAGAGTGCCGATTCCTAGGCCAAACACTTTTTAATAATTTTCTTTTGGCAAATCTCAGAGTTTGTCGATTGTATAATTTCATTCGTATTATAACTTTTTTTTTCATCTACTCAGTATTGTGTTCAAATCTTTTGGACACTAATGTTACTAACAGACTATCTCAGAAACTTCCTCATAAACTACCGTTGGTCCCTCGTAGAGTTGGGTCCGGCCATTGACAATCAGCGCCACTCTGTGATTTCTGTACGTACTAGCCTGTACAGGAATATTGGGTTCCCTATCAAGGCCAATCATTTAACCTTCTTTTAGGCAGTTAGGTGTTCTGCCGTTCTGCGTCATTTTACTTCACTGCGGAGATTGTGGTATGGAAGTCGTTTCATTAACTTCCAGATTCTGAGATATTAGAACCCCAAACACCAGTTTATGGAGTAGTGCCCATTTATCTTGTACCTTACGTTTAATTGTTTTGATTTGGGTGCTTCCTCGTCGATTTTCTTATTGGCTTTTCAACCTTCAGTGGTAAGTTCTTTTTTTATACCATCGGAACATTAACCGATCGCTGGAGACAACTAAAACTTGAAACAGTATAACCTCACTAAAATTCAAACATTATAAAAGATAAATGGGCTGACTAAGTAAAACCAAAAAAATAAAGTAAACATATAACCCAGTAAAAGCTATGAGTTAGTAGTAATCGTTAAAAATGTACTGACATTAGTATAAATACTAAGAGAGTCCTAAAATGTAAAAAGAAACTGACAGAATATAAAATATGAAAAAGGAAACAAATTAAAAAGTATTTAATCAAAACTAGGTACTATCTCAATAAAGACTGACTTCTACGCATTGGACCATATTTAAAAAGATTTCAAGTAGATTAATTTGGAATGGCTATAATCATTGTTTTATTAAAATGTCCGTAAGTACAAGTTTTTTGCGGCAATGTAATCTTGGATAACTGCCCTGGGTATTTTATGTATCCATTGTTTATTTTTTTGTCTTGCATAGATTCAGAGAGTTTATGATTTACATTCTAGAGGAATACTGTTGTACATATGAGGTCCAAGGAAAAATGATCTCAATAGTAACGACTTTTCTAGTTTCGGTACAATTAAGTGCGACAGTGTCTTTTGCCGAGTTTCATACTTATGATTGATTCTGTTTTGAGAAACCCTGTTTCTGTACTGAAATACGAGTAGGCTGTAAGCATAACGTTGGTGAGTATCGAATATATCTGTTTAAATATATAGTTCATTAGAAGGGTAAAAGCTTTGCTTTTTGCACATAACCTTGAGAATATGTTTTTGTGCTAATTCAAGAGTCTTAATAAAGGTGATTGCTACTCCACCCCAGTTTATGATGCCATATACCAGATGTGACTGCACAAGAGCTAGATAAAGACTATTTAGATGTTTCTGAGATGGGAATTTTGACAATTGTCTAAATCTGGGCATCAGCATTATGAGCTTTTTTACAAGATAGTCAATATGTATATCCCATTCAAGGTTTCTGTCGATATAAACACCTAAATATTTTATACTATCTGCACAATGTGTTCATCGAGATTGTCAGCGAATTGTGCTCAGATAAACGACACTTATAGGACGCAAATGGAACAAAACTGGTCTTTGCATAGTTCACTGTCAATAACTTGTCATTGACAATCTACGACTACTCGTCGTTGCTTCTCAATG